ACACACACTGCACAGTGCATACTCTACACCACACACACACTGCACCATTCACACTACACCACACACTCTCTGGTGCACACACTACACACACTGCACTACATACATACACTGGTTATGGAGGCTGCCTATGGAGCTTCCCCGTGCAGAGAAATGCTGGCTTGGGTTTAAAATGGGATATAATTAACATTTTTAGAGCATTTGAGTTTTAAAAGTGTCTTCAGAGACTTGATTTTTAAAAAGTCTTATTAGGGGATTTTAAACAACTGATGTAATAGCTTTTTTAAAAGGAATCTTGGTGAATTAAAATAGCGAGTCTAATTACTCGGATTCTGAACTCCCTGTTTTTTAACCACAAAAAAGGTATTTTTAATTGCGCCCTCGTTTTTTTCCCCCACTGGAACCCTGAAACAAGTTGTTCCTGAACTTCTGCCAGTTGCGGATGGGCCGTTTCTCGCTCACGTGTTGAGCTGCCAGGCGGGGCGTGCGCACACTGTGTTCTCTGCTGCGCGCCCGGTGGTCCCGGTGCGGGTCTCCTGGTCACCTGTGGGCCACTGGGAGGGACGCGCCCACACGCTCCGGCCGCGCCCTGGACAGCTGCGGGGCGGTGGGCCGCTCCAACACCATGCGTCTTCTGCAGGCTGAGATGCGTTTGCTCCTGCTCCTGCTGCTGCTGCTCGCTCCAGCGCCCGGGTCCTCGGTGAGTGCAGCCCTGCCCCGCCCCCGGGAGGACTCTGCCGGGGAGGCGCAGGCGGGGACGCGCGGGCCCGCAGGCTGCGTTCCCAGGAAAGGGGTGATGTCTGGGAAGACGGGCTGGGAGGAGGCGAACCCGTACCGCTGAGCTCCTTGAGAAAGGGCTGGGCCCTTCAACCGGCTGGCTAGGGTGACCAGAACTGCCCGCCTGGCCTCTGGCGCAGTTTGTTGGGGTGGCACCTTCCCAGGGCTTCCCTCCTTGAGAAGGTGGTGGGAGCTCTCCAGAGCTGGGTGGTCTTCCAAGGTGGAAGGACAGGTTGGGGGCAATGCTGGGGCCAGCCAAAGTGCAGGGCTGGGTGGCCCATCCCACCAGACACCTGTCTTCTGCCTGGAGCAGAACACGGCTTCCCCTAAGCTGGGGTGTTTGGACCTAGAGGTTTGAGTGCCAGTTTTTTTCCTTTCCCCTTGGGGTAGCACCTAGGGCAGGGCTGTCCCTTGGAACCTTCTGAGATGGTGGAACTGTTCTGTGTCTCTGCTGTCCAGTAAGTAGCCCCTATGTTCAGTGAGCACTTGCAATGTAGATGAAATGAGTTTTAATTTCACTTGACTTTAATTTAAATTTATTTTTAAATTGTTTAAATATTTATTTATTTTTGAAACACAGTCTCACTATGTTGCCCAGGCTGGAGAGTACTGGCATGGTTTGGGCTCACTGTAATCTCCACCTCCTGGGATTAAGCAATTCTTCTGCTCAGTCTCCTAAGTAGTTGGGACTCCAGGCGTGTGCCACGGCGCCTGGCCATAATTAATTTAAACAGTCACACGTGGCTAGTGGCTACCGTATTAGACTGCAAATTGAGACAGTGGACACAGGAAGCTGGATGGGGTCAGAGCTGCTGTTTCATTAACAGGGGCCCAAAGGCCAGGGCTCTCTGGAGAAGGTCCCTGGATCTTGAGGATGCACAGGGAAGCTTCTAGACCACAGGTCCCACCTTTGGGGAGGAGAGGGTCTGTAGAGTTGGGTGCCACCCTGGCTCAGTGCCTGGGAGAATAGAAGCCACAGAGGCACCTGGGCCCTGTCCTACTCCAGAAGAAATCTCCCAGGGTGACCCACAGCCCTGCCCACCCCTCTGTGAGGTGGGTGGGAGGTAAGAGAGGAAGGATCCCTGTGAAAGGACCCAAACTATTTTCTGCCTTGGGGAGGGCAGGGGAAATGCCACGTCTGGCATCTGTGGGTGGAGGCTGAGAAGGGCATCTCTGCAGGGGTGTGTAGGGCAGGCAGGATAGATGGCAGCGGTGGGCATCTGGCATTTCTCCAAGAGCCCTGTGAACCCAACATGGGCCACAGCTGGAGTGGTGGGTGGGCCAGCGCCAGCCTTTTTCATGTCCTCTCCACTACCTGCCAGCTTCCCACAGTCCCCTCTGCCACCCCATGAACCTAGCTCCATAATGCCACTCTCAGGTCCTTCAGCATGTGCTTGTGGCCCAGCTGCATGAAGGCCAAAGCCCAGGTGGAGGGGGCAGCCGGACAGTGTCCAGGCCCTGGGATTAAATCCAGAGCCACCACAGCAGCTGCGTGACCCTAGGCAAATCATCAAGCCTTAGATTGCTCTAATTTGGGGGTAATAATACCCACCCCAGAGGCTGTCATGCAGATGAAACAAATCAAGGTTTCCAAAGCGCCCTGGGTCCTATTAAATCCTTTCTTCCTTAGAAACGCCCTGAGTAAGGCTGGGCATGGTGGCTCACACCTGTAATCCCAACACTTTGGGAGGCTGAGGTGGGTGGATCACGAGGTCACGAGATTGAGACCATCCCGGCCAACACGGTCAAACCCTGTCTCTACTAAAAATACAAAAAATTAGCCAGGCATGGTGGAGCACACCTGTAATCCCAGCTACTTGGGAGACTGAGGCAGGAGAATCAATTGAACCTGGGAAGCGGAGGGTGCAGTGAGCCAAGATTGCGCCATTGCACTCCAGCCTGGATGACACAGTGAGACTGACTCAAAAAAACAAAAACAAAAACAACACCCTGCATAGCCCCTGAGCCTCAGGTGGGGCTGGGCATGGCCTGGGCTGAGAACTCTTCTCACCCTGCCCTCTATGAGTCTGCAGGGGGCGTGGCCGCACTCACAGCTCCCCTGCCTCCCTCCGTCACTGGAGCAGGAGCCACCCTGTCGAGAACCTTCTCTGGATCACTTAGTGCTGCCAGGGGTCAGCCTGAACAGAATGAGTAGATGAATCAAGGTGGCGGCCTGCGTGTTCCTGGGCCTCAGCCTCTCTTCCATCTGCACGTGGATGTGCATGCATTCTGTCTCACACACACACACACCACGCTGGGCAGTTGATTCCTCGGGAAATAGTGTGCAGCAGGAAAGGGGACTCCTGAGTGACTCCAGGTGGGAGTTGGAGGAGGCATGGGCGGGGCTCCTAGAGCAACTTGAGACAGGTGAGGACAGGCCCCAGGTGAGGCTGGATCAGCTCATTCCAGCTTCACACCACGTTGGGCAGTTCATGGTTTGAGTAATTACAGAGCAACAGTGTGCTCGTGTTGCCTGTGGCTGAAGGTGCTTTCCTTCCTCAAGAGACAGTGTGGAGTGCGTGAACAGGGCACAGCTCGAGGGTGGGATGGGATGGGCTAGGGCTCCTGGCTAGTGAACACCTCCCTCACAGGGGCCTCACAGGTGCTGGGCACAGGAAACAAGAAGGTATTCTGGAAACAGCACGCCCATTAGGGGGCCCTTGTTCAGGTCAGTCCTGCCCCCTCCTTATCCTGATGGCCAGGTGGTGGCTCCATGGCAGGGGTTGTTGCCTTGGCCACACCAGTACACCAACCCCAGCTGCGGAGAAGGGTGGATTTTGCTGGTTGCTGTGCCAAGAAGCCAAGAGACATCCAAACAGGCCTTGGTCAGAGGGTAATTGACAGCCAGGCCCGGGCCAGCAGCTAAGAAAGAGCCATTCCTGAAGACCTCTCCTGAATACCTAAAATGTGGGATGAGGCTGCGTGTGGGGCGGGGGCTGCTAGAATCCCACCTGCGACTGCAGGGAGTCCTTTTCTCTGGAAAGTCACCCTCAACACTCAGTATCTGCCCTTGTGAAACTGAAACTTGATCCAAGTAAATTTCAGTTTAACTTTCATTGAGAGAACACTTTGAAGTTTTGGCTCACGGTTTTGAAAGCTTAGAGATTTTTGTCCCAGTTAGAACTGAAGGAGTAGATGATTTTACAAAGCGAAAGCTAAGAGCTTTCGTCCGGCCAGCACTTCTTCTTGGTTGTGTGTGTGGTTCGGCAAGCTTAGCGTGGTTTGTTCTGATTCAGGGTTCTAGGTTTGTAATAAGACCAGGATAACTCAATGTTTGGCACAGGGATGTTAGAGGTTAGTAAACCTCCTTCCTCACCTGCGGAAGCTGCTCTGGGCTCACCACGGAGGGAAGGGCCCGCTTTTCTATGTGACCACTGAGCTCTTTCTTTGAAAAGTGGGAATGGTATTTTTCCTTGAGATTCTTATGTGGTAATACTCTAAAAAAAAGTCCCCTTCCAGCAAATGTTTGCATGTACACCATATGCCTCCTGGCAAAATTGTGAAGTTACATCTAATTCCTGTCTAACCCTGTAGGGAATCATCTAGTGTCTTATTTGATTCCCCCAGGGAGGTGGGGGCACAGCCCCGGCAGGGGAGCAGAGGCCTGCAGTGAGGCTGGCTGGCCACTGTGCCCACTTCTTCCTCTGTGGCTTCCTCTCTCTGCCTCACTTTTCTCATCCATGCAATGGGATCTGTTGGGTTGTGAGGATGAAATGAGATTATGTGTGTGGCATGTGGATTTCTGATGCCAGCTGCAAGGGGTCCGATCTCTCTGGTAGGAAAGTGTATCTGTTAGGATCATAATCCTGTGTGGCATCCCAAGTTAACAGTTCTTCAACAAGACAGACATGATTCCTCTCTCATGTAAACACCCAGGAGTTGGAAGCCTGGGCCGATTCTGTCGCACAACATCCTCCAGGCTCTAGAGTCTTTTCTATCTTTGCTTCACTGTTTGAAGCCTCTATTTCCAAGTTACTTCACAGTCTAAAAGGCTGCTGCAACTCCAGCCATCACATCTGCTTTCCAGACAGCCTAAAAGAGTACAGAAGGAAGAAGAAAAGGACAAATGCTCATGCAGCCTCTCTTAAGGAGGTTACTAGCGGCAGCTGCCCAATGCTCACAGTTATAGCTCACTAACGAGAACTAAGTGACGTAGCCAGTTAGCTGCAGGAAGTCTAAAATGTATTTTTTTTTAAATTTTGGGCAGCCAGGCACCCAGCTGAGTCAAGTTTTCAAGGGTTCTTTGACAATGGGAGGAGGGGATGAATATTGGGGTACTCCTGGGAGTCTGCCACAGATTAGCAGGATCCCCCCATGTTGTTTCCCTTTTTAGGGCCTCCTCCCCTACATCACTGTTAACCCACAAATACCTGGGCCCTCAAACTGCCCGTGGCTGTGGGGTCCCTCACTCCAGTGGCCCCTAAAACTCCAAACTCTTCCCAGCTGCCTCTCAGCTCCTTATGAGGAAAGCAGGCTAATTCTGAAAAGGAGTATGTTTTGGGGTGCCAGGCAGTGTTGCCAAGTCCTAAAGGCTGGCCCCAGAAGGGAGAATCCCAGGCTCCTTGATGGGTGGGGAGTGTTTTTAGGCAGAGCGCCCGTGGGGCCCCCGGGGCTCAGGCTCTGAGTTGGCACTGCTGATGCATGGTCCTGTCTTCTGCAGGCTCCCAAAGCGAGGCGGCAGAGTGACACCTGGGGACCTTGGGGCCAGTGGAGCCCCTGCAGCCGGACCTGTGGAGGGGGCATCAGCTTCCAGGAGCGCTCCTGCTACTCCCAGAGGTAGGAGAGATGAAAATGGTCTGGCTTGTTAAAAGAGGGCAGGAGCAGGAGATGCTGGCGTCTGAGTGGCGGGCTGGGTGATCATGGCCTAGGCCAGCCGTGGCCACACCAGCAGAACCCACCAAGCAGCATATTCATTCTGGAAGCAACATCAGTGCAGCACAGGACATCAAACAATTTCCCAGGGCCTTCCACTCGGGGCTGGAGCACACGTGCTGCCTGTGGCCTGCCCCCCACCCCTCTCCGGCTCTTGATGCTGCACCTGCCTGTTGTATTGCAGGTGCAGTCAATTTCGGTGGAATTAGTGAATAATCTTCAACCGGCAATTCCCAACTCCTGTGGTTTCTTTGCCGAGTATAGATGTTCCCCACTTCAAGCGGTTTACTAAGTGCTTGCTGTGTGTGCTGCAGTCTAGCAGGGTCAGTGGAGGAGGTGGGGCACAGAAGAAGGGGTCGTGAGGCTCCTCTGTCCCGGTTTGTTAAGGGGTTGCTCCTGAGAACCCTATGTGAGGAGGAAGAGAGACCAGGAATTATTCTAAGAGCCTTATACTGATGTCCTGCTTAGATGGCAGGATGGCGGTACCAGGTGGGTGGGTATTACATCTCAGGCACCTCGGGTCTTCTCTGGGAATCTGCCTTAAGAGGCAGTGGAGTGGTCCTGCCTTAAATCTACAGGGTGGTGGAGCGCTGAGTCCTGCTTTTCCCGAGTACCAACACGGGCCGCCCACGGCCACCCAGGGAATTCATGGGGTGGGGGCGGGGGGCACCCTCTCACCTCGCTGCTCCCACTGGAGAGTCTCGCAGAAGTTGAGGCCTGCAGGGAGCCCAAGGACAGGGGTTGGGGACGTGAGCTCTCAGGCTAGTCTGCGTCTTCCCGGTGCTCTGGTCGTAGGAGAGATGGAGGCTCCAGCTGCGTGGGCCCCACCCGGAGCCACCGCTCTTGTCGCACGGAGGTAAAGCCCATGGGGCGCGGGCGAGGGCACCAGCTCCCCAAGCCCCTCCCGGCCGACGTCCCCACCTGGATGCCCGCCCCTGGCCTGGGCTGCTCGGTTATCCCAGCCTGGGGTCCTCCTGCCTGTCCACAGCAGGGCTGTGTGGGGACCCTGCACCCCCACCCCCGGGGGACTGGCCTTGCCCTCCCCAGCCTCAAGCACTTGGAGGTGCGCGCATGGGAGATGGGGCGGGGTGAGGGGGGAACTTCACCTCCGGAGGCTCAGACGGGCCGGGTGAGGGAGACTCCCGGGCTTCCTGGGCGGTGGGCGGACCTCGGACTCCGCCTCCTGGACCCCGACTTCCCCTCCGCCCGCCCCGCAGAGCTGCCCCGACGGCGCCCGTGATTTCCGGGCCGAGCAGTGCGCGGAGTTCGACGGCGTGGAGTTCCAGGGGCGGCGGTACCGGTGGCTGCCCTATTACGGCGGTGAGCACGGTGGGACTCCCTCTCCCGGGGTCTCTTGTAGACGTTGATGCCACAGTTCCTATTGCCGTATTATAGAGGCGTTGTCAAACATACACATTTTTAGAGACAGGGTGCTGGGATTGCAGGTGCTGTGGCTCACAGTATACAGGGAATCTCCTAGACCACAGGACCCACCTTCCGGGAGAGATGGAGGCTTGAGTGCAGCAGTGCCATGTCGGCTGAGCAGCCCCGACCTCCCAAGCTCAATCAATCCTTCCACCTCAGCCTCCCAAATAACTTTTTTAAAAATACGGAATGCTTCATAAATTTGCCTGCTTAGGGGTCAGGGACTGTGCTAATCTCTTATCATTCTAGTTTTAGTATATGTGCTGCCAGAGCCAGCATGTGTCAAATACACCATGAATCAACCCGTAAAGAATCACCAGTACCCTGCTCCCCCGCCCCCACATGCCCGTGGCAACCCGATGGCAGCCATTTTGAGGTCTTTCCATCCTTTCTCCCCTTAGGTATGTACATTTTCAAACAAAGCTATGCTATATCTGCACCATTTTGAGCCTGTTTTTGCTCAGTCTGCTGTGGGAAGCGTTCCTCCTGTCACAGAGAGACGGAGGTGGGGAGCACCAGGAGCAGTAGGAATGGTATCACCAGGTCATCCTGGAGGAGGGGTTGGAAGGACCTTGGTACACCATGACCTCATTTACCGAGGATCAGGGGCCAAAGGAGATGGTCTGAGTACCTCTGAGGAGGGTATAAGTAATGTTTAGAGAAATACAGTTCAGGAAAAAAAACACCCCCATAAGCACCACCATGTATGTCATTAAGCATTTTAGATGAGTCAGAAGATTCCTCAAGACAACTCTTCTGAGTTTCTGTTTTTCCTGCTTGCTGCAAATGACCTCTGGAGACCCCATGGCACTCTGGATTCCAGATCAATGAGCACTCATATCCTCTGTGTGTTGTGGGGTTTGTGGCTTGGTGTGGCCCCAGTGGAACTCTTTAGCTTTCAGTATTCCCCCTGGATCCTGAAGTGGACACATGTCAAAAATAGAGTATATTCACATGATAGAAACATTGGAAGACAGAGGGAAGTCTAGAAAGATAGTAGAGGGATGCCATCAGTGGTGTGGAGATGACTATGATCCTATTTGCACTTTGGGGCTGTTTTAAAATGTGTATATGTTGAGATAAATATAAAAATTAAGGTTGAATGCAGTGGCTCATGTCCGTAATCCCAGCACTTCGGGAGGCCGAAGTGGGAGGATCTCTCAAACCCAGGAGTTTGAGACAAGCCTGGGCAGCATGGCGAAACCCTCTCTCTACAAAAAATACAAAGATGAGCCAGGCATGTGGGCACACGCATGTAGTTCCAGCTATTCAGAAGGCTGAGGTGAGAGGATCACTTGAGCCCAGGAAGTTGAGGCGGAAGCGAGCCAACGTCACACCACTGCACTCCAGCCCAAATGACAGAGTGAGACTTTGTCTCCAAAAGAAAAAAAAAAAAATTAAAACCAGGCCAGGTGCAGTATCTCCTGCCTGTAATTCTGGTGCTTTGGGGGGCTGAGGCAGGAGGAACATTTGAGCCCAGGAGTTTGAAACCAGCCTGGGCACTGTAGGCAGACCCTGTCTCTACAAAAGTAAAATTAGCTGGGCATGGTGGCATGTGCCTATAGTCCCAAATATTTGAGAGACTGAGACTGGAGGACCACTTGAGTCTGGGAGGTGGAGGCTGCAGTGAGCTTTGATCGTGCCTCTGCATTTCTGCCTGGGAGACAGAGTGAGATCTCATCTGAAAAACTTTAAACCCAGAAAAAAGTTACCCTCATCCTGCCCCTTTCACAAGATCACTGTTAGCATTTCATTTTCGCTCTTCTCACATTATTTTCTCCATATAGGCTTACATATTTGTATTATTGCATATTAATTACCATTTTGCATTCTGTGTTTTAAGCATCTTCCCACACCGTATAGGCTTCACAATCATCATTTGTAACTGTAAAGTCAGCATGTGTAATATTCCATTGATAGATAATTTATTTAAAGAACAGCATGTTGTGGCCGGGCGAGGTGGCTCACGCCTGTAATCCCAGCACTTTGGGAGGCCGAGGCGGGCAGATCACCCGAGGTCAAGAGTTCGAGACCAGCCTGGCCACCATGGTGAAACCCCGTCTCTACTAAAAGTACAAAAAGTAGTCAGGCGTGGTGGTGTGCACCTGTAATCCCAGCTACTCAAGAGGCTGAGGCAGTAGAATCGTTTGAACCCGGGAGGCAGAGATTGCAGTGAGCCGAGATCGCACCACTGCACTCCAGCCTGGTGACAAGAGCAAAACTCCATCTCAAACAAACAAACAAAAACCCTGTTGTAACCACTTCAGCCGTGGGAAATAATGCTGAGGTAGACTTCTTTAAGTGCTTCACTTTGTGCTGATTCTGGGATTTTTTTCCTCAACTTGATCCTTAGAGGTACGACAGATTCATGGAGACTGTCCCTTCTCCTTGGGATGGGGCAGGGATCTGTGCCCCCCACCCCACTGTGGGGGCTGCTGCGGGCCTTTCTGACCCCCCACTTCCCTGTTGCGAGGGCAGGCCTTGGGCCCTGGGTTGGCCATCATCCAACCTCAGAATCTCAGTCTTGCTTCCTGCCTACTCCAGCCCCAAACAAGTGTGAACTGAACTGCATTCCCAAGGGGGAGAACTTCTACTACAAGCACAGGGAGGCCGTGGTCGATGGGACGCCCTGCGAGCCTGGCAAGAGGGACATGTGTGTGGACGGCAGCTGCCGGGTGAGTAGTGCCCCAGTGCCTCCCCTGCCTCGGGGCTGGCTGCGGGCTCAGTACGGGTGTTTCCCTGTCCATCACCCACAGGCCCAGGTAGCTGCCATGAACTTGGTGCCTTCTCAAGTTATCAGGACACCAAGCCCAGCTCCTGGTGTCCCTTGCAGCCATCACAGATGCCCTGTGGCCCCTCGCTTTCATCCTTGGAGAATGCTAGCCCCACAATGAGAGAAACCCTCTGGGTGGCAGAAACCCAGCTAAAACTGACTTCAGAAAAACAAACAGCGAGGGGCGGCCGTAGGTGCATGAATGAAGTGCTGCTCGGCTTTCCTCTCTGTGGGTCCAGCATCAGATCAGGCTGGTTCTTTCCAGGAGGCGTGGAGGTGGCCTCCAGCTGCTCTGGGCTTCTCTGGCAGCCTGGCCACTCCCAGGGAAAGGGGGCCTCGTTCTCAGGAGCTCCAGCCACCAGGGGTTGCCTCTGGTTTGTCTTGGCTTGGGACTTACCCTGAACCACTCCGACCTGCCCAAACCCACATTTGGGGGAGCTCCATTCAGACTCTGCAGAAGAGAGGTTTCCCTAAAGGAAAACGGCATCATTACCAGACGAGGGGAGATGGGAGTTGAGCAGACAGATAAGTGATTGTCAGCCACAGGCCAGTCCCCTCGTGACTGAACCACTCCTGACCACCCTGTTCTGCCTGGGCTGTGCGGGTGCTGGGGTTAGGATGCGATGGGGCCCAAGCCTGACATGGCCATGATGCCATCTCCCATGCCTCCTGCATCTCTGCCCCCAGGTTGTTGGCTGTGACCACCAGCTGGACTCGTCCAAGCAGGAGGACAAGTGTCTGCAGTGTGGGGGTGACGGCACGACCTGCTACCCCGTCACAGGCACCTTTGACGCTAATGACCTCAGCCGAGGTGGGGGTGGTTCCAACAAAGGGCTGTTGCCTGCCCCTTCTTTGCCTGTCCCTGCTCCGGCCTAGGCTCCAGGCCAAGTGGCCCTCATGGCACCGGAAGGCTCTGACCATATCAGGTCACATCTGAAAGGCCCCTGTGGGCTTCGGACCCTTGCCCACTCATGCAGTCCACCTCCCTCTACCACTGCCTGGATGCCCTCCCCATCCCTTCCCTCTCTCAGTCTGCTCCAGGTGCCCTGAACTTTCTGCCACCCTGGCTTTTGCACAGCAGCTTCCTCTGCCAGGGTTACCGTTCCCAGCAGCTCGGCCCTGCCTGCTCCTGCGTATCCTCTTGCTCCCATTCTGTGCTGCATGGCACTGGAGTCCTTGGGGGCTGCCCTTTCCTGTCATTTGAGGGTGCCAGGGTGGGGTAGCTCAGCACCTCTAGCCGGCATCTCTGCCCCCACCAGGCTACAACCAGATCCTCATAGTTCCCATGGGTGCCACCAGCATCCTCATCGAGGAGGCTGCTGCCAGCAGGAACTTTCTGGGTGAGAGCCTGCGTTGGGTCCTGGGCAGGTTTGGGGCTACAGGGGGAGGTGCCGTGCTGCCTGCCCCCACCACTCTGGCTGACTGAGGCCGTCTCCTCTGCGCAGCCGTGAAGAATGTTCATGGGGAATACTACCTCAATGGGCATTGGACCATCGAGGCAGCCCGGGCCCTGCCGGCAGCCAGCACCATCCTGCATTATGAGCGGGGTGCTGAGGGGGACCTTGCCCCCGAGCGGCTCCATGCCCGGGGCCCCACCTCGGAGCCCCTGGTCATTGAGGTAAACAGGGCTGTGGGGAGAGAGGGCAAGTGGGCAGCACGTGGTCCCCAAGAGGCTGCCAAGCTCTGCAATGGGGGTTGAGTGGCTCTGGGCCTGTGGCTGGCAGGGGCTGTGGGGCTGTGGAGGTTGTGGAGTGCCCCCCAGCAGCAGACCCCAACCAGGACCCTCCCGTGGCAGCTCATCAGCCAGGAGCCCAACCCCGGCGTGCACTACGAGTACCACCTGCCTCTGCGCCACCCCGGCCCCGGCTTCAGCTGGAACCATGGCTCCTGGAGTGACTGCAGCGTGGAGTGTGGCGGAGGTGCGGGCGTGGATGGCAGTGGAGGGCATGGCCCTGTGTGCCGGGCCACGGCCATGGTGGGCAAGTCACAGCCCTCTCTTCAAAGGCAGTCCCTTGCGGGGAGATGGACAAGTAGGCGAGAAATCTCTGTATTATGGGCGTCACTTTGAGGAAAACCCAGCAATCTGGGGACTTCATGAAGGACCCCAGCCTAAACGAATAGAACCTGAGGGGGCTTCCCAGAGGCAGTGGCCTCTCATAGGAGACACACTCCATCAGGAGCGGAGGCGGGGCCTGGGGTCAGTGATCAGGGGCCAGAGCAGGGCTCTGTCATTCACAGAGAAAACTCTGAGGCTCAGTTTCCTCATCTGTCAATTGGGGATGATGTGGCACCTGCCTCAGGGGGTCATCTGAGACTGAATGGGGATGAGCTGCGGGGTGAGTGCAGGATGGCCTCGGGAAGGTGCTTGATGAATGTTGACTGGTGGCTGCCCACCGCGGCTGGGCCTCTGCACAGGTCACCAGTCCCGCCTGGTGTTCTGCACCATTGACCACGAGGCCTACCCAGACCACATGTGCCAGCGCCAGCCACGGCCGGCTGACCGCCGCTCCTGCAACCTTCACCCTTGCCCGGAGACCAAGCGGTGAGGCCTTGCCAGCCCCTCTACCCGTGATGGGGTCCCAGAACTTGGGTGGGAAGGGAACAGGGCTTCCAAGCTGCTGTAGGTGTAGGACAAAGAGTTGGGGGGTCCAGGGCTCCCCACGCCGTGGCCGGGGGGTGGGGGAGCTGGCAGCTATTCCTGAAGGAGGCAGAGAATGGGCCTGAGCCCAGGGCTGGTATCTCTGCCCTCTCATGACCACGAAGTACTCAACGCCCACACTGGTGGCAGGAGGGTTTGGGAAGGTTCCAGAGGTCCCTGTCTGTCTGAGCCAGCGGAGGACTTGGCTCAGCAGATGCTGATGGGTGGGCCAGGGGTCGGGCCCATGGGCCTGTTGGCATTGGCCATGCCTTTGTTCATGCACAAAGGGCCTCTTACCTGCACCGGCCTGGAGCGTGGCACCTTGCTGGGGCCCGGCGAGTGTGTGGGAACAGGTAACCTGCAGGTCACAGGCTCCCCTCAGGGCTGGCTCCACCCCATCACCGCCTGGCATTGGTGGCAGCGGACCTCCTGGGATGGTGGCGGGCTAGGCTTTGCATGGGGCCTCAGGGCTGCTTTTCCTCTGGGTCCTTGCACGTGCGGCCTAGAGCCACTCCACGCATGGGTGAGCACAGCCTCCCCGGAGCTGCCCCTGACTAAGGTCAGGCCAAGAGGACTGGAGTCTGACTGGGAGACAGGGACCTGGCGGGAAGGAGAAAGGGGTGTGGGGTGGGGACAGGAAAGCCAGGGGGAGGCTCAGGGCTCCGAGTAGTGGGGAGCGCTCAGAGAGCCAGGCTTGGTGCTGGGATGCTAAGGAGCGCCTGAGTCCTAGTCTTTGTTCAGGCCGGAGGTTCAGAGGATGGGCTGGGGTGGGGGCCTGGGCCACCTGTGTGAGTAAGGGCTTGTGCCCCTTGGGGCTGGGATTTGGCCCGTGCTCCTGGAGCAACCTTACCTGAGTCTCCCTCCTGCCAGCTGGAAGTCAGGGCCGTGGGGGTCCTGCTCGGCCTCCTGCGGAGGAGGCTCCCAGTCCCGCCTGGTGTACTGCATCTCATCTGACGGGGCTGGCGTCCAGGAGGCGGTGGAGGAGGCTGAGTGTGCCGGGCTGCCTGGGAAGCCCCCTACCGTGCAGGCCTGCAACCTGCAGCGCTGCGCTGCCTGGAGCCCAGAGCCCTGGGGAGAGGTGAGCCCCTGGCCTGGGTGGGGCTGGTGCTGGGCCTGGGCAGTGGCAGAGCAGGCTGGGCTGTCCTCTGTGGTGGGAACTGAGGTCCTGGGAGGTAAAGTGACCTGCCAGGTCACCTCGGAAGCTTCGGCCAAGGCTGGAACCAGCAAGTACCTGGATGGCTGGCCCAGGGCTCCTCCTCTTTCTCCGGGATCCCAGGGCAGGGCAGGAAAGGCATAGGCAGGAAGAAGCTGGGTATGTTGCTTGGGGCAAGGGAGGGGCTGGCAGTGTCTAGGCTGCCAGTCATTGCTTCCAGCACCTACATATGTTCCAGTTGCAAATGGGTGGAAAACACGAATGGGCGACAACCTCAGTCTGTAGCCATGTTTCAGGCTGTGTGACCTCAGGGGGGTGACTCAGATTCTCTGGGCCTGGGAAAAACATGGGCAGTTGAGTGCTGTCCGCCTCCACACCAGGCTGGCAGGCTCCTAGCTGTCCAACCTGGCGTGGCTCCTCGGCACGGGGGGCGCTCCTTTCTGACAGCCCTGTCCTTACAGTGTTCTGTCAGCTGTGGTGTCGGCGTCCGGAGGCGGAGTGTCACTTGCCGGGGTGACGGGGGTTCTTTGCTCCATACCGCAGCATGCTCCTTGGAAGACCGGCCACCTCTCACTGAGCCCTGTGTGCATCAGGACTGCCCCCTCCTCAGTGACCAGGCCTGGCATGTTGGCGCCTGGGGTCTAGTGAGTGCTCTCCACCCCCCACCTGCTACCTGACCCGGCATGTGGCTGCACCCGAGCGCCATCCTTGGATTTGACCTGTACCACTGGGCACCTTCCCCTGCCTCTCTCCATGTGGGTCCTCACCCCCACCCCCACCATTACCCTCACCCTCATCCTCAGGGTCTCTTTCTCCCACCCGTGGGCCTCAGTGCTCCAAGAGCTGCAGCTCGGGCACTCGGAGGCGACAGGTTATCTGCGCCATTGGGCCGCCCAGCCACTGTGGGAGCCTGCAGCACTCCAAGCCTGTGGACGTGGAGCCTTGTAACACACAGCCCTGTCATCTTCCCCAGGGTAAGGACAGGAGGCCAGGGAGGAGCCTGGCCCCACCTCTCTCTCCCTCGATATATACCCAGCAAGCACGACCTGCCTCGGGGCTTCTGCCTGCACCATGTCCTCCCTCTGGACCCTGCTTCCCCCACATCTCCCCGCGCTGAAGCCTTTGCCATCCTTAAGGCCTGCCTCGCGTGCAGCCCACCAGCCAGCCTTGCTTTCCTCCACCCAGCAGTAGCATGCTCCCTGCCCCTCCGGCCCTCACTGTATGCTGTCATTTCTGTGGGACACTTAGATTTGTTTCCTTGTGCTGCGCGTGGTGGCTCATGCCTGTAATCCCAGCAGTTTGGGAGGCTGAGGTGGGCAGATCACCAGGTCGGGAGATTGAGGCCATCCTGGTCAACTTGGTGAAACCCTATCTCTACTAAAAATACCAAAAAAAAAAAAAAAAAAAATTAGCTGGACATGGTGGCACATTCCTGTAATCCTGGCTACTCAGGAGGCTGAGGTAGGAGAATCACTTGGAACCAGGGAGTTAGAGGTTGCAGTGAGCCAAGATCGTGCCACTGGACTTCAGCCTGGCAACAGGAAGAGACTACGTCTCAAAAAAAAAAAAAAAAAAAAAAAAGATTTGTTTCCTTGTGCTGCTGTGGTTGTTTATGGCTTGTTAGACCTACTCACTATAAGCTTCTTGAAGAGCAGGTCCCCAACTTCCACATTCCTCTTTACACCACCATAGAGCTTACACAGCTAGGTACTCAGTGAATGTTTGTTGAATGACTGAGTGCTGAGAGAGGGAGGCAGTCCAGGAAGGATTGTCTTCCACATGCTGCTGCTGCCTCTGTTTTCTTTCCGTCATCGCCATCCTGCTGTGAAAGGAGCCTTACAGGCATGAGGACCTGCTGGAGAAAGGGCACTGAGGCCAGTGTTTGCTTGGTGTGTGGATGCCACATTGAGGAAGGGTGTGGGTTGTGGCTGAGCTGGGGATGGCGCTAGAGAGGTGGCCTTCTGATACTGCAGGGAGGCATGTTTGGCCTTGACTCACTTGTGCTGGGGACTCTCAAGTGATTCTCATGCCTCAGCCTTCTGAGTAGTGGGACTACAGGTGTGCACCACCATGCCCAGCTAATTTTTAAAAAAATTTTGTATTCTGAACTGTAGGGACCTTGAGGTGAGGGAAGGCAGAATTTCTATGAGCCATGTTACGGGGAGGCTAAGAACCAGTGGCCTCAGAGTCAACATCAGACTTAGGTTCCGATCTGTAAGTTGTGTGGCGTTGGCAAGTGCTCCGCCTCTGATTCTCAGTTTGCACATCTGGACAGTGGGGCTAAGAAGAGTGACTTTCCAGACTTGCGGTGGGTCATGTGGCACCATGCCTTAGCATGTGGAGTGCTTGCTAGGTGGGAGGTGGGAAAGTAGTGGTAGTGAGGCTGTGCTGGGACTCACTGACCATCCGCAGGGGCCCTGGTGCCTCAGCCGGGGCCTGGTCCTTTGGGCTCACCAGCGGGAGAGCCGTGGACACTCAGGGTCCAGCTCTGCGTGGAGCCAGTCTGTTCCCCAGGGCCTTGTTGGCTTCTAAAAGAGTTGGTCTTAAGCCTATCCCAGGGACTGGCAGGACTCATATAGAAAGGAAGAAAAAGGGCTGGGGGGAGGTTTAATCCCAGCCTATAATCCCAACACTTTGGGAGGCTGAAGTGGGAGGATCACCTGAAACCAGGAGTTCGAGACCAGCCTGGGCAACATATCTCAACTAGAAATTATTTTTAAAAAATTAGCCAAGCATGGACCGGGCGCAGGGGCTTATGCCTGTAATCCCAGCACTCTGGGAGGCTGAGGCAAGAAGATCACTTGAGGCCAGGAATTCGAAACTAGCCTGGAACATGGCAAAACCCCATCTCTACTAAAAATACAAAAATTAACCAGATGTGGTGGCGGGCGCCTGTAGCCCCAGCTACTTGAGAGGCTGAGGCATGAGAAGTGCTTGAGCCCAGGAGGCAGAGGTTGCAGTGAGCTGAGATTGTACCATTGCACTCCAGCCTGGGCAACAGAGAGAGAGAAAAGAAAAAATTAGCTGGACGTGGTGGTATGTGCCTGTAGTCCCAGTTAGTTGGTAGCCTGAGGTGGGAGGACCACCTAAGCCCAGGAGTTTGAGGCTGCAGTGAGCTGTGATTGCAGCACCACACCCCAGCCTTGGCAATGGAGTGAGACCCTGTCTCTTTAAAAATAATAAAAATATGTTTTTATTTTATTTATTTATTTATTTTTTGGAGACGGAGTTTCACTCTTGTTACCCAGGCTGGAGTGCAATGGCGCGATCTCGGCTCACCGCAACCTCCGCCTCCTGGGTTCAGGCAATTCTCCTGCCTCAGCCTCCTGAGTAGCTGGGATTACAGGCATGCACCACCATGCCCAGCTAATTTTTTGTATTTTTAGTAGAGACGGGGTTTCACCATGTTGACCAGGATGGTCTCGATCTCTTGACCTCACAATCCACCCACCTCGGCCTCCCAAAGTGCTGGGATTACAGGCTTGAGCCACCGCACCCGGCCAAAAATATGTTTTTAAAAAAAAGAAATGGAAAAGATAGTTTCAGGGCATAAAAGAAATAAGCTTTATTGCTATCCTTTTTTGTTGTCTTGGTCAGCAAAATACTGTATACTTTCTAACATTCCTATTTCCTTTTTTATTGATAAACAGTAATTGTACATTTTTATGAGGTATGTGTGATATGTTGATACATACATACAATGTTTAATGATCAAGTCTGGGTATTTAGGCTACCCATTGCCTCTCACATATTTATCATTTCCTTTTTTTTTTTTTTTAAGAGTCTCACTCTGTCACCCAGGCTGGAGTGCAGTAGCACAGTTTTGGCTCACTGCAACCTCCACATCTTGAGTTCAAGCGACCCTCCCACTTCAGCCTCCTAAGTAGCTGGGATTACAAGTGTGCACCACCACGCCTGGCTGATTTTTGTATTTTCAGTAGAGGTGGGGTTTCACTATGTTGGCCAGGCTGGTCTCGAACTCAAACTCCTGACCTCAAGTGACCCTCCTGCCTTAGTCTCCCAGAGTGCTGGGATGACAGGCATGAGCCGCCATGCCTGGACAAATGTTCCTCATTTCTTTGTGTTGGGAGCGTTTTGGCTCTCCCCTTTGAGCCATCTTGAAATATACAATATGTTGTTAACTGTAGCCACCCTACTGTGCTATCAAACACTGGAATTTATTCCCTCTATCTTACTATGTGTTTATATCCATTAACTAGCCTCTCTTCATCACCCTGCACCACACTTCTCAGACTTTGGTAACTGTCATTCTACTCACTATATCCATGAGATCAACTTTTATAGCTCCCACATATGAGTGAGAACATGTAGTATCTGTCTTTCTGTGCCTGGCTTATTTCACGTAACACAATGACCTCCAGTTCCATCCATGTTGCTGCAAATGACAGGATTTAATTCTTTTTTATGACTGAATAGTATTCCATTGTGGATATATACCATATTTTCCTTAACCGTTGAATCTTTAGGTTGATTCCATATTTTGGCTATTGTGAATAGTGCTACAGTAAACATGGGGTTACAGGGATCCCTTTGATGTACTGATTTCCTTTCTTTCGGATAAATGCCCAGTAGTAGGATTATTGGATCATCTGGTAGTTCTATTTTTCGGATTTTGAAAACATACTGTTTGGTGGTCATACTATTTTGCATTTCCACCAACTTTATAGAACAGTTCCCTTTTCTCCTCATCCTCACTAGCATCTGTCATTTTTTGTCTAATAGTCATTCCAACTGGGGTGAAATGATACCTCGTTATGGCTTTGATTTACATTTTCCTGATGATTAGTGATGTTGAACATTTTTCATATACTCATTGGCCTTTTGTATATTTTGAGAAATATCTAGTCCTTTGTCCACTTTTGAATGGGATTTTTTTTCTCTTTTTGCTGTTGAGTTGTTTCAGTTCCTTGCATATTAGTGATGTTGAAGAGCACCAAAATGAACAGCACCATTTTGTCTATGGTGCTGTTCATTTTGCCCAGCTAAATTTTTTGTTTGTTTGTTTTTTGTAGAGATGGGGTTTTCCTGAATTGCCCAGGTTGGTCTTGAACTTCTGGGCTCAGGTGACCCATCACCTCAGCCTCCCCAGGTGTTGGGATTATAGCAGTAAACCACCGCACCTAGCCTCGATCCATTTTGATTGATTTTTGTGTATGGTGAGAGATAAGTGTCTATTTTCACTCTTCTGCACATGGGTATCCAGTTTTCCTAGCACCATTTATTGAAGAGAGAGTTCCTTTCCTAGTGTATGTTCTTGATGCCTTTATAAAAAAGTCTATGGGCTATAAACACATGGGTTTATTTCAGGGCTCTCTCTTCTGTTCCATTGCTATGTGTGTCTTTTTATGCCAGTACTATGCTGTTTGAGTTATTACAGCTTTGTACTGTTTTTTGTTTGTTTGTTTTTGAGATGGAGTTTTGCTCATGTTGCCCAGGCTGGAGTGCAGTGGCACAATCTTGGCTCACTGCAAC